CTTATAGGGTAGGTCTCCTCTCTCTAGACTGACACACTAGGACTGGGCCTCATACCTTACAGGGAAGGTCTGCTCTCTCTATACTGTCACACTAGGACTCGGCCTCATACCTTACAGGGAAGGTCTCCTCCCTCTATACTGTCATAGTAGCACTGGGCCTCATACCTAACAGGGAAGGTCTCCTCTCTCTATACTGTCTCACTAGGACTCAGCCTCTGGGCCTCATACCTAACAGGGAAGGTCTCTTCTCTCTATACTGTCATACAATGACTGCCCCGGCCTCACACCTTACAGGGTAGGTCTCCTCTCTCTAGACTGACACACTAGGACTGGGCCTCATACCTTACAGAGGCTGTCTTTTCTCTCTATACTGTCACACAATAGTACATGGCCTTATACCTTACAAGGTAGGTCTTTTCTCTCCATACTGTCATACGAGGAATGGGCCTCATACCTTATAGGGAAGGTCTCCTCTCTCTTTACTGTCACACTATGACTGGGCCTCACACCTTACAGTGACAGTCTTTTCTCTCTATACTGTAACACTAGTATTGGGCCTCACACCTTACAGGGATGGACTTTTATCTCTATACTGTCACACTAGAACTGGGCCTCACACCTTACAGGGACAGTCTTTTCTCTCTATACTGCCACACTAGGACTGGGCCTCACACCTTAGAGTGTACATTTTGTCTCCTTAGTTAATCTCCCCGATGTTAGTAGAACTGGGCCTCATACCTTACAGGGAAGGTCTGCTCTCTCTATACTGTCACACTAGGACTGGACCTCACACCTTAGAGTGTACATTTTGTCTCCTTAGTTAATCTCCCCGATGTTAGTAGAACTGGGCCTCATACCTTACAGGGAAGGTCTCCTCCCTCTATACTGTCATAGTAGCACTGGGCCTCATACCTAACAGGGAAGGTCTCCTCTCTCTATACTGTCATACTCGGACTTGGCCTTGTAGCTTACAGGGAAGGTCTTCTCTCTATTTACTGTCACACTCGGACTGGGCCTCATACCTTACAGTGACGGTCTTTTCTCCCTATACTGTAACACTAGTATTGGGCCTCACACCTTACAGGGATGGACTTTTATCTCTATACTGTCACACTAGAACTGGGCCTCACACCTTACAGGGACAGTCTTTTCTCTCTATACTGCCACACTAGGACTGGGCCTCACACCTTAGAGTGTACATTTTGTCTCCTTAGTTAATCTCCCCGATGTTAGTAGAACTGGGCCTCATACCTTACAGGGAAGGTCTGCTCTCTCTATACTGTCACACTAGGACTGGGCCTCATACCTTATAGGGAAGGTCTCCTCTCTCTTTACTGTCACACTAGGACTGGGCCTCATACCTTACAGGGAAGGTCTGCTCTCTCTATACTGTCACACTAGGACTGGGCCTCACACCTTAGAGTGTACATTTTGTCTCCTTAGTTAATCTCCCCGATGTTACTAAGGCTAAGTTGGCTTCTTATTAGATTGGTTGAGTCATTCTTCCAATTACCACCTATAAATTGGAAATTAGACCTCGTTTAAGTAAAGCATAATGTTCATGTGGTTTTCTAAAGGTATGAAAATCATTAAATCTCCATACTTTACTTCTAAACATTGTACTTAAGAATCTCCATTTTAAAGGAAAGAAAAGCAAAGAATTAAGTATGAAATGACTTTAAGAATCCTCCATAAACACATATTATCATAACAATAGATCTGTAACCTTACATTTTCTCCTTTACAAGACAGGTCAACCCTGAAATAGCCAGCGCCAGGCTGCTACTTGACCAGACATGTACAATTCTAGACATGGGAGAACATAGGTCCTACTGTATAGCAGGTAAAGGGGACATTGGTAGTAAACTATGGCCATGTGTTTTTTTTAAATAGTATATTGTTTAAGCAAGATAACACAAAGGATGTTTAGGATAGATAATAAAAAGGACTGTGGTAGGGAGCCTGAAAAATCGGCACAATATCCTAACTGACATATCCTTGAAATGAAAGTCGTTCTAAGCTCCAAATCACCAGGACAATTTCTATATTTGAACATCAACCTCTTATTGCTAAAAGGGGATTTTTTTAATTTTTTTTAGAAACAGGAAGTCAGTTTTATCTAAACAAGGAGGATGGATGATAAGTAGTGAAGGGAGCCTGAAAAATTGGCACAATATCGCAACTGACATATCCTTGAAATGAAAGTTGTTCTAAGCTCCAAATCACCAGGACAATTTCTTTATTGGAACACCAACCTCTTATTGCTAAAAAGGGATTAAAAAAAAAAAAAAATGAGTTTTATCTTAACAAGGAGGATGGATGATAAGTAGTGGAGTGACCCTGTGCCCTTAGCTGAGACATCCTACTTTTTGACAGATAACAGTGCACCTCTCTTGTAGTTCTACAGCACTGTAATAGCCAGGGACCAAGGCTGTCATCTTCCTTATTTTCTCCTTCACAAAGTATCGTTCATAAATCCAGGAAAACTTTCGGCCGCCTTACACCTCGTTAAGCACCTGGTCGACTGCTGTGACGAATTCTGCAGACTTGCCACAGGTACCTCTTACCGTTACTAAGCAGTTGGCAATGAATGCTAACTTGAAACAGCAAATTTTATTCTTTTTAATTTCAAATTATCTTGTTGTATTCATATTTCATTAAATGGAACAGATATTTTGTATGCACAGGGACATTATGTCAATATTTATGCCAATATAATGCATAGATAATTTATGTAAAATATCGGTAGTACCACTACACTTATCTGTGTACTCACTACGAGTACTTACCAAATCAACATTTCGGTCATTAAGACTTCAAGCGATTTTCTTCCTGTACGATGTTTAGCTTAATACTCCGGGTCCATCAGATAGCAAAATGAACAGCAATGAATCAACTACTCAAATAACAAAGATTTTTTTTCTTATGCTGTTTCATCAATATATTTTAATTTATTGATGACGTACGTACTGTCAAAAATACAAAAACGCAGTAGTTATCAATAAATGTGTTCAATATGATGACTTAACCCTTTCATCCCTATGTTACTTTAGTAGACTCAACCATGCATTGATATGGATGAGTCCATTATGGTATACAGTGGTGAAAGGGTTAAGACTGAATTTTATTATAGATTTAACCCAGTATTTTTCACTGTCATAATGTTTGATCTGCTGTGGCTTGTAATACATTTTCCATGAAGTGTGTTATTCAACACCTATGTCAGTACCAGTACATCACGTAGGATTCACTTGCTAAGACCTTGTATGTTAATGTAAATACTCAATCTCTCTTGTCATTTAGACAATGACATACATGCCAACCTTGCACATTTATTCATGGACGAGAAACTAAAAATCTAAAAAATCTTTAAATGATGTACAAAGACTCCTTATTTGGCAGCATACTAGTATAAAAAAATCATAGCTACAGTTATTGCATGCACTGAATAATTACAATTTGACTTACATAATTTTGCTCAACAGTCAGAAAAATTGAAAAAATCTGGAATCTTTCTCCAAATTAGGAAGATTAATGGCAAATAAAAAGTCATAAATAAACATCATGCTAAGATTTGTAACATAGTGTGCTTTCAAAGATAGGTATAGACCTCGGACACAATACACATCATGCTAGGTTTTGTAACATAGTGTGCTTTCAAAGATAGGTATAGACCTCAGACACAATACACATTATGCTAAGTTTTGTAACATAGTGTGCTTTCAAAGATAGGAACAGACCTCAGACACAATACAGGTTTTATATCATATTTTGTAATTTCACAGAAAGGAATAGACCTCGGACACAATACACATCATGCTAGGTTTTATATCATATTTTGTAATTTCACAGATAGGTATAGACCTCGGACACAAAACATATCATGCTAGGTTTACAATTACATATTGTGATTTCACAGAAAGCCTCAGACTTTTCAGACCCACGACAGGAATGTAACCATCACGGAACCCGTTCACCATAACAGAACACACTGGGAGTGTGTCTCTTTTGTGGTAAAGCTTAATACAACCACAAAATGCTTTATATTGATTTTCAGTTCAAGGTGCCTTAATCTAGTTGTAATACAATTAAATGTTTTAACCTTACTGTTAATGTCCTATCTGAACTATTGATAACACCACACCTGCCATTAATATCCCACCGGTACCAGTAATAGCCCACCAGTACCAGTAATATCGAACTAATACAATCATTATCCCATTACCGGTACTTCAATTAATATCCCACCACTACCATTTATTTCCCACCACTACCATTTATATCCCACTACTACAATTAATATCCCACCACTACCATTTATATCCCACTACTACAATTAATATCCCACCACTACCATTTATATCCCACTACTACAATTAATATCCCACCATTACCATTTTTATCCCACTACTACAATCAATATCCCACTACGACCATTTATATCCCACTACTACAATCAATATCCCACCACTACCATTTATATCCCACTACTACAATTAATATCCCACCACTACCAATAATATCCCACCACTACCATTTATATCCCACTACTACAATTAATATCCCACCACTACCAATAATATCCCACCACTACAATTAATATCTCACCACTACCATTTATATACCACCACTATCTTTAATATCCCACCACTACCATTAATATCCCACCACTACCATTTATATCCCACCACTATCATTTATATCCCACTACTACAATTAATATCCCACCACTACCATTTATAGCCCACTACTACAATTAATATCCCACCACTACCATTTATATCTCACTGTACAAATAATATTGTATTTATCACATGTTGGCATGTTTTCACAATATTTTCCCTTTCATGGTTTAAATCCCTTTCATGACTGCGACTCGGAGTTCTATGTATCACACTTTTATGCGATGTTTCTGATCAGGCCCATTTAAAGACATAAAACAGGGTACTTATGTCGTGGGTATTCCATTTATGATTATTTAGATTAGAAGATCATCTTACCTGCAGTAGTTCCAGACAACATTCACTACCTATTGTAGGGGTTTGTGTAGTCTCCTTAGTAGTGTGTTACCCGCTGGTGTAAAATACACTGACGAAGACAATTGTGTTACCACTGAAATAAGACAAGATTATGAATATTACAAATAGTGTAAATAATCCTCTTTTTAAATAAAACAAGTAGACGCTTACATAGACCAAAATACATATCCAATGTCCATCAGGATATCCTTCTCTGCTTACATCTTTTTGATAACTTTGTCCTCTCACCTGAATTTGACACCATGTCTTTGTGCTGGCAGTGAGAGGATTTTGATATTTGAAACCCTTACTTTTGTGCTTGGGGTGAAAGTATTATGCACAGACAATGCCTGATATATATTGCAGAAGTGATACACATCCCTTATGTATAATATTATCGGTTCTTATTAAGATTGATACTAGCAAAATTTGGTCTTTTCCTGCATTGCCAAATAGTGAAACCAGAGTAATTTACTTTCCCTGTGTGACTACCAATGTGACACTAGTGTAATGTCCTTTCCCCGTGTGATCCCCACTATGACACCAGTGTAATGCCCTTTCCCTGTGTGACTACCACTGTGACACTAGTGTAATGCCCTTTCCCTGTGTGACTACCACTGTGACACCAGTGTAATGCCCTTTCTCTGTGTGACCTCCACATGCACTGTAACACCAGTGTAATGCCCTTTCCCTGTGTGACCACCACTGTGACACTAGTGTAATGCCCTTTCTCTGTTTGACCTCCACATGCACTGTAACACCAGTGTAACGCCCCTTTCCCTGTGTGACTACCACTGTGACACTAGTGTAATGCCCTTTCTCTGTGTAACTACCACTGTGACACTAGTGTAATGCCCTTTCCCTGTGTGACCTCGTCATGCACTGTAACACCAGTGTAACGCCCTTTCCCTGTGTGACTACCACTGTGACACTAGTGTAATGCCCTTTCTCTGTGTAACTTCCACTGTGACACCAGTGTAATGCCCTTTCCCTGTGTGACCTCCACATGCACTGTAACACCAGTGTAACGCCCTTTCCCTGTGCGACTACCACTGTGACACTTGTGTAATGCCCTTTCCCTGTGTGACTACCACTGTGACACCAGTGTAATGCCCTTTCCCTGTGTGATCCCCACTATGACACCAGGGTAATGTCCTTTCCCTGTGTGACTACAATTGTGACACAGGTGTAATTCCCTTTCCCTGTGTGACTACCACTGTAACACCAGTGTAATGTCCTTTCCCCGTGTGATCACCACTATGACACCAGTGTTGTGTCATTTCCCTGTGTGACTACAATTGTGACACAGGTGTAATTCCCTTTCCCTGTGTGACTACCATTGTAACACCAGTGTAATGTCCTTTCCCCGTGTGATCCCCACTATGACACCAGTGTAATGTCCTTTCCCTGTGTGACTACCACTATGACAAAAGTGTTATTCCCTTTCCCTGTGCGACTACCACTGTAACACCAGTGTAATACCCTTTCCCTGTGTGACTACCACTGTGACACTAGTGTAATGCCCTTTCTCTGTGTAACTACCACTATGACACCAGTGTAATGCCCTTTCTCTGTGTAACTACCACTATGACACAAGTGTAATTCCCTTTCCCTGTGTGACTACCACTGTGACAACAGTATAATGCCCTTTCTCTGTGTGACCACCACTGTGACACCAGTGTAATGTCCTTTCCCTGTGTGGCCAACACTGTAACACCAGTGTAATGCCCTTTCTCTGTGTGACCACCACTGTGACACTAGTGTAATGCCCTTTCCCTGTGTGACCTCCACATGCACTGTAACACCAGTGTAATGCCCTTTCCCTGTGTGACTACCACTGTGACACCAGTATAATTCCCTTTCCCTTTGTGACTACCACTTTGACACCAGTGTAATTCCCTTTCCCTGTGTGGCCACCACTGTGACACCAGTGTAATGTCCTTGCTCTGTGTGACCACCACTGTGACACCAGTGTAATGTCCTTTCCCTGTGTGACTACCATTGTGATAATATCAATTTTATCTCCACTGTATATTGACTTTAACTTTTATATTTGGATTTGATAAGACACATTTTATTCCAGTAGTCTCCCCTTTGAATTTGAAAGTGTCCCCAATCAAATCTTACACTGCAATATGAGGTAGATTCACTAGATTGTCATGCATGATGACCTATAAATGAAGAACCTGGGTTAATATATCTGGTTAATAAACCTATTGCTATGAAAGTAATCTATAATATTACACACAGACCTCTTTGAAGATTCTGGGTTTTAATTAAGACTGTAAACCAGTGATATAAGACTGGTTGTATATTACGTACAGGTAAACCATTTGTAAGGTTATACGCTACCATAGCTTAGATTGAATATAAGTATAGTTAATGGTTGTCCTGGTAATCATGTCTATACACAAATTTTTAGAAACAACTTCATTGTGTATGTAACTATATATACAGACACATCAAAAATGGACAAAATTACTACACCGAGCTTTACACGAAATCCAGCTATACATGTGTAGACTATACCTACCTCTCCTGTATGATGGCTGACATTGAAAGCACATGTGATTGAGGGTAGACAGTTACAGTTCTTGGTATGGTTTGTCAACTTAAAAATTGACTCTAATGTTATCGTTGAGAATTACAGTATAAAATGGTAATCAGCCATGCATGTCACTTCTATAGTAAAGTCATTCAGGTAGGTGTTCACTGCAAGTCCCATACACAATTCAGCTATGTAGAGAATGGGCACATGAAGAATTGTATGACTTTGATAAATATATACAACAGCCTACACACTGAGCCGAGCCTACATACCTGTTCCCTCCCTACATAATGTCACACCAACAATTTCGCTGTATCATAATACCAATATGATTCCTGGCCTACAGTTACAAGCAAATAACTACACACTACAGTACTCTTCAGCATATCTAAGTTGCCAATTAGACCTACCTGTACAGGTGAGGTATAGGGAAGTCCAGTATCTACACCGGGCATCCCTATTTCCTATCAAAGTATATAAATCTCATCAAGTGTCCATGCAGTGTCTGCTAATTACAGGTGTATCAGGTGCAGTTTTGAATCTTGGTGTTGCACAAGTGAAATAGTTTACCTGTATGGCTGGGAACCAGACACAGGTGCAGACACTTTCATATAATATGTAGGTACGGCCACACACTTACAGAACACACATGTAATGGTTGAGCACTTTATTTTACTGTAATATAAGTATGCAGATACACATATGTTTTCAAGTCGACTCCCACTGAACCCTTTCTCTATATGATGCCTTGAGATATGTTCTTGCACTAAATTGAATTGAACACTTTTTAATGTGTCTTTTAATCATCCTCAAGCATTTGTTTGGTTCTGTACAAGGTTTCTTATTCTACCTCTGCCACTGAACAAGTTCTGCCCATGATTTATTGATTTCTCTCTACAACTGATCATGTTCTGCACATGGCACCATTGAACAGGTTCTGTACATGGTTCAAACTCTACCATTGATTATGTTCTGTACATGGTTCTAACTCTACCATTGATTATGTTCTGTACATGGTTCTACCTCTACCATTGAACATGTTCTGTACATGGTTCTAACTCTACCATTGAACATGTTCTGTACATGGTTCTAACTCTACCATTTAATATGTTCTGCACATGGTTCTAACTCTACCATTTAACATGTTCTGTACATGGTTCTAACTCTACCATTGAAAATGTTCTGTAAATGGTTCTACCTCTACCATTGAATATGTTCTGTGCATGGTTCTAACTTTACCATTGAATATGTTCTGCACATGCAGTTCTAACTCTACCATTGAATATGTTCTGCACATGGTTCTAACTCTATCATTGAACATGTTCTGTGCATGGTTCTACCTCTACCATTTAACATGTTCTGTGCATGGTTCTAACTCTACCATTGAATATGTTCTGCACATGCGGTTCTAACTCTACCATTGAATATGTTCTGCACATGGTTCTAACTCTATCATTGAACATGTTCTGTACATGGTTCTACCTCTAACATTGAACATGTTCTTTACTTGATTTCTTGTCCCCCAGACACAAAATCCTGGATTATATTAGCCCTTGACATTTACAATTGAACATGTTCTACACACAATTTACTGAAATTGCACTTGCACTGAACACAGGCTTCTATTTTTATATTATGGTTTCCCTGTTTGTGGATGAGGCAGTGGGCCGTGTATTAGAGGCAGGAGGTACAGGTTTAATATCACGGACAGTGAACAGGAATCTCTACTCGTAGACAGACAGTGATATATCCATTGTCAGCATGTTACAAAATCAGCAGTATATTTTTTTTCTGATAAACAAAGGCCAGTAAGTTAGAATGTGGTGATGTACGACGGTGATGTCTCCGATAACATTCTTGTCCTGCTTAGTAAATCTATCCTGTAAACCAGGCGCTTATAACTCAATCTTATCGTCACACAATAAATGGTTAAGCTCCCTTTTTCTACCATTACACATGCTATAGTGATACGGGTATATTACCATTCTCACCGATACTGGGTTTAACATCCGATACATAAAGCTGTCATTATAACTACTAATACACTCACGTATCATTTGGATAACTAGTATAAAGACTCAGTGTAATAGGCTAAAAGTATAATCACTCATACAACAGCCTGTGGGTGTTATATCTAATACTGTCAGTGTATTTACATCTAATACACTATATAGGATAGGGGGTGGGGGCAGCCCAGATCCACTTAACCAAAGCCATGGTCAAATGAAGAACTTTGTTGACCCCACCCCCCACCCCCCACCCCCACATTTTAATTTTCTTACTTTTTTCAACAAACAATTTTTATTTCAATGAGTTGTTCCCTGTCAGGCACACATTATTTTGTTAATATGTATTTAAAGAATGACAAATTCACATTTAAAAACAATATCTGGTAAAATATTTCAATAAAAAAGTTTAAATGCTTCTTCAAAATGATACCCCTCCCTAAATGTTCCTACCAATTACACCCAAGTTATCTATTTTTCATACAAACAAATTAAAAGTAAACCAAAACAAAATTGGTGAAAAAATTATTAAGGCTTAATTATGTACAATGGTAAAAAGTGTACAATTAAGGCAAAACGAACCACCTCTGCCCCTACCTACACATTGCATATCACACATACACACAGGCAAAATTGTATTGATTAATGTATATGCTAATTGTATAATTGTATATCTGTGTACTGTAAAGCACTTTAGAGTGGCTTATGTTAGGAAGATAGGGCACTATATCAAATGCTGATTATTATTAATTTATTATTCTACCTAAACTGGTCAACCCTAACATTTAATTGAAGTCATCTTAATGATTTGGTAAATAAACAGTCATTTGTTAATTGACAATACACGGTTGGTTCACTAAGCCATGAGAATCTGGGGGGGGGGGTTGTGTTATGGTTTCGTTGATTCTAATATAAACTGTATTTGGTATTACCAAGGGTTTCATAAAACACAGTAATCACATATAGACCTGATCACATTATATTAGATAGTCCCGAGCGCAACAATCAGCGGAACTGATGATGAGGAATAATAACACTGCAGATGTTATACCCAGTTGAACACATCAATTTGACTATTGACATGTCAAATTAAGTTAATTGGTTAATCTAACATACCAGTGTTATATACAACTCTGTTGAAATATCGTCACTGACCTTGTCTATGAATCCTTAACACATTATGAGCAGTAACTCAAGCCTTCCACACCAATTTATAGTTGTCAGATGTAACTAATTAAGTGCGGTGATTATATACAATAATGTCACCCATCTTGTTTGTGTATCACTTAGAAGGATCATGTCCTTTGTATTCCGTGACATGCCATCAACTTATATTTCAAATTACTGGAACCATGCAAAATTCAGTGGTGAGAAAAGGAATCGTTTAACATAAATGAGAGATTTTAAAACTTTAAAGGACAAAGAAATTATTTTGTTCTTTTAAAAAAATGAATGGTACAAATATACAATATTGCCATAAGAGAAAAAAAATCAAAATACATACATATTGAACATGCCATGTACATGCAGCACTGTATGTAACAAATGAACTGCAGTTTCATTGAGGTAAGGGAGCTGGTAGGTAAAGTTCAAAGTTAAAATATAAAATATCACTAATGACAGGTTTTTTTCTGGATCCCTAAACCCTAGACAGATGCTCTAACCAACTGAACTATCTGATCAAAGGTAGTTAACTAGCCCCTCCTGTACATAGCCACTTACTTTATCTAAGATTTAGATATCCCCCTGCCAAGCTGACACATCAAAGGTAGATAACTAGCCCCTCCTGTACACAGCCCTTTACTTTATCTAAGATTTAGATATCCCCCTGCCAAGCTGACACATCAAAGGTAGTTGACTAGCCCCTCCTGTACACAGCCCTTCACTTTATCTAAGATTTAGATATCCCCCTGCCAAGCTGACACATCAAAGGTAGATAACTAGCCCCTCCTGTACACAGCCCCTTACTTTATATAAGATTTAGATACCCCCTTGCCAAGCTGACACATCAAAGGGAGTTAACTAGCCCACCCTGTACACAGCCCCTTACTTTATATAAGATTTAGATACCCCCTTGCCAAGCTGACACATCAAAGGGAGTTATTTAACCCACCTGTACACAGCCCTTTACTTTATCTAAGATTTAGATATCCCCCTGCCAAGCTGACACATCAAAGGTAGTTAACTAGCCCTTCCTGTACATAGCCACTTACTTTATCTAAGATTTAGATATCCCCCTGCCAAGCTGACACATCAAAGGTAGTTATTTAGCCCCCCTGTACACAGCCCTTTACTTTATCTAAGATTTAGATATCCCCTTGCCAAGGTGACACATCAAAGGTAGTTATTTAGCCCACCTGTACACAGCCCCTTACTTTATCTAAGATTTAGATATCCCCTTGGCAAGGTGACACATCAAAGGTAGTTATTTAGCCCACCTGTAGACAGCCCCTTACTTTCTATAAGATTTAGACATCCCCTTGCCAAGCTGACACATCAAAGGTAGTTATTTAGCCCACCTGTAGACAGCCCCTTACTTTCTATAAGATTTAGACATCCCCTTGCCAAGCTGACACATCAAAGGTAGTTAACTAGCCCCTCCTGTACACAGCCCCTTACTTTATATAAGATTAAGATATCCCCTTACCAAGCTGACACATCAAAGGTAGTTAACTAGCCCCTCCTGTACACAGCCCCTTACTTTATCTAAGATTTAGACATCCCCTTGCCAAGCTGACACATCAAAAGTAGTTAACTAGCCCTCCTGTACACAGCCCTTTACTTTATCTAAGATTTAGATATCTCCTTGTCAAGCTGACACATCAAAGGTAGTTAACTAGCCCTCCTGTACACAGCCCCTTACTTTAAAAAGATTTAGATATCCCCTTGTCAAGCTGACACATCAAAGGTAGTTATTTAGCCCACCTGTAGACAGCCCCTTACTTTCTATAAGATTTAGACATCCCCTTGCCAAGCTGACACATCAAAGGTAGTAACTAGCCCTCCTGTACACAGCCCCTTTACTTTATATAAGATTTAGATATCTCCTTGTCAAGCTGCCACATCAAATATAAGATTTAGATATCCCCTTGTCAAGTTGACACATCAAAGGTAGTTAACTAGCCCTCCTGTTCACACCCCCTTTACTTTATATAAGATTTAGATATCCCCTTGTCAAGCTGACGCATCAAAAGTAGTTAACTATCCCCTCCTGTACACAGCCCCTTACTTTATATAAGATT